TATCTACTACTTGGGGGAAATTTCAACAAGAAGTAGCAGTCTTCAATATATATTAAACAAATGTTGGTGCACTCACAAATAAAAACAAATATTTACAGAAATAAGAACCAATAACAAAATTATAACAGAAGACCTTCACATGCCATTGATGTGATCAACTAGACAGAAAATCACCAAAGAAATAACAGAACTAAATCACACCTGTGAATATATGCACTTGGTGGACATATACAGTGTCCCACCCAACACCAGAATATACATTCTCTTCAGAACACATGGAGCATTCTCTAAAATAGACCATATGCTACCCACATAACATGGTTGAGTAATGCAAAAGACTTGAAATTCTTCCACGCATTTTATTGGATCATGGCACCACGAAATTAGAAAATACAAAATCACAAAAGAAACTGCAAAAACCACACAAACACATGGAAATTGAATCATACATTCCTGAGCAATCAGTGGATCACAGAGGAAATTTAAAAAGACATTAAAATATACCTACAAGCAAACCAAAACACAAATTCATCTCACTGGAACCTGTAGGATGTAATGAAAGCAGTCCTCAGAGAAAAATATATTATGATGAATTCCCACCTCAAGAAAACAGAATGAACACAAATAAAACACCTGATCCTACACCTCAAACATCTTGAAAAACAAAAACTAGTCAAGCCCAAAGTTAAAGAAAGGGGGAAATTATAAATATCACAGTAGAAACCAATGCAATAGAGAGTAAGAAAATTATACAAAGAAGCAATGAAATAAAGAGTTGGTTCATTGAAAGAATAAATAAAATTCGTAAGCCCCTGGCCAACCTTATTGAAACAAGGAAAGAAAAAATTCAAATTTATACAATAAGGAATGAAAAGGGTGAAATCACCACAGACCCTGTGGAAATACAGAAGATCACCGATACCTACTTTGAACTCTCTCTCTCTACTCTCATAGGCTTGATGACACAGGAGAAATGGACAGATTTTAGGAAACATATGAATTACCAAAGCGGAACAAGGAGAGGTACAACTTCTGAAACAGCTGCCAAAATAACTTAATGAAATTGAAAATGTAATTAAAACCTTACCAACAAAGAAAAGCCCGTGTCCAGATTGATTCACTGCAGAATTTTATAAGACATGAGAAGAAGAATTAATGCCAACACTCCACAAACTTCAATGAAATTGAAGGGAAGCAATTCTTCCTAATTCATTCCTGGAAGGAAGTATTACACTAACACCAAAATCAGAGAAAGACCAACCAAAAAAGAGAACTACAGGCCAATCTCCCTAATGAACACAGATGCAAAAATTCTCAGTCAATTACTGGCAAACAGAATGCAGCAAACCATCAAGAATAGTTTACACCACCACCAAGTGGGATTCATCCCAGGAATGCAGGGATGGTTCAACATACACAAATCAATAAATGTAATCCACCATATCAATAGAATCAAAAATAAAAATGATATGATCATTTCTATAGCTGCAGAAACTTTTGATAAGATCCAACACTCAGTCATGATAACAATATTACAGAAAATTGGAATACATGGTCTTTACCTCAATATGATAAAAGCCATCTATGACAAACTAACATACAGCATCATATTAAATGGCCAAAAATTGAAAACCTTTACTCTAAAGTCAGGAGCAAGACAAGGATGTACATTCTCACCTCTCCTATTCAAAATAATGCTAGAAATACGAGCCAGAGGAATTAGACAAGAGAAAGAAATAAAATCAGTAAGGATTGGAAAAGAAGAAGTTAAAAAATCATTATTTGCAGATGACATGGCACTCTATATAGGAGGCCCCCAAAATTCCATTGAAAGATTCCAAGGTAAAATAAACAAATTTAGTAACATAGCTGGATACAATGCCAACACTCAAAAATCAATAGCATTAACATACACGGACACCAAACGCACTGAGAGAGAAATAAGAGAAGCCACAAATTGGGGAAAAATCTTAGCGAACTTTCCTTCAGACAAAGGACATCTGTCTAGAAAATATAAAGAATTTTATAAGAATTAGACTCCCGAAATTCAAAGGCCCAATCCAAAAATGGGCATCTGAGATGCATACACAGTTCTCAGATAAAGAAATGACAATAAGTGACAAAAAGGTAACAAATGGCAAATAAATATATGAAAAAATGTTCAGCATCATTGGTCATTAGAGAAGTATGCAACTTAAAACCACACTGAGAATCCATCTCACTGTAGAAAGAATGGCCAGGATCAAGAAAACTACCAACAACAAATGCTATAGAGGCTGGGGTGGGGGGAAAGGAAATCTCTGCACTGTTGGTGGGAGTTCAGACTGGTGCAGCCACTGTGGAGGTCAGTCTGGGGGTTCCTCAAAGATCTGGGATTGGAAATCCCATTTGACCCATCTATTCCACTTCTGGGCATATTCCCAGAAGAACTGAAAACATCATACCACTGTGATATATGTGCACTCTTGTTTATAGCAGCACAATTTCTAACCGCCAGGTCTTGGAAACAACCTAAGTGCCCATCAACTGAGGAATGGATAAAACAATGTGGTATTTTATACAATGGAGTACTACTTGGCCACAAAGAATGATCACAAGGAGATTTTTATTATAAGTAATTGGATGCAACTTGAGAACATACTCATAAATGAAATGCATCGATCTCACATGTGTAAATACTGTATAGTTTCCCTAGTGTAAGAAATGGTGGAGAAGTGAGAGTACATAAGATAAAATACAGTGAAAGGATAAGAATCTGCATACAGGGAAAAAATAATATCTCAGGGAAAGTGAGGAAAAAGAAAAAGGAAGGAAAAATAAAAAGTATCTAAAACTATGTAAATACACAGGATAGCTAAAATGATTGTACTACAAATTATAGAAGTTCTTGGAAAAAAGTTAGCATTCGTAGATTGCAACAATTGTGCATATTATTGTATGGTGATCTGAGAAACTCTTGAAGATCAGGGTGAAAATAACAGACCTAGTTATGCTCCTAACACCTTGTTTGGAAGGCCGATATCATCAGTTATTTGCACTCTGCTATTGTTATTTATTTGTCTTTTTTGTTTCGGGTTTTTCTACAAATTTGTTTGTTTTGTTTTGTTTTGTTTTTCTGTCTGATACAGAAAGCATAGGTATACATGTAGACACTCATACATGCATAGAATTTCTCCTAAATAGTTTATGAGACTTGATTCTATAATGCATAATGGAATGAACAGCTACTTTGAAGAAAAAGAGACACTACGTATCCAGTGCTGATTCCATAGCATATGATGTGAAATCAACCAGTACTATTATCCCTAGTTCAGACTGACTTGAGTATGTTTTGTACTTTTTAATTTCAACATACAAAAGGTATGCATAGCTCTTTTGAAGAGAACAAGACAAATTATGGAAGCTATTGTTGATTTCCCTATTGTCTGGTTTTCAAGACCAATGCCTTCATCATTCTGTTCTGACCACTACTTTTTGTGTATGAATTAATTATATGTGAAAATATGGGCAACTATTCAGAAGAAAACAAGAGACCTTTTGGTAGACAGTGATAATATCCTGTTGTCTTGCTTTGAAATTAGTGTGACATACATTGTTTTCCTCTGATCTGCTTTGTTATGATTAGTTTACCCTGTTTAAAATAAATTTTTTAAAAAAACTATGCTTTTTCTCCTGCCCAGACTCACTCACAGTTGGAAATGTGTCATACTATAGTGCCTCGTATAGAGAGGGAACTGTATATTGATGAGGGGAACACGTCTAAAATCTATGTGAAAAAATTATTCGTCCTTAAAGCACAACCTAATACTCACTGACACTCCACATAACTTTGCCTTCTACCCTACTTTCATACAGTATGGCTAATACACTTGTGCTGAACCATACTCCTGAGGGCCCAGACTACTCTAGCTCCACCCAGACAGTCATGTGAACTTGACTTCAAAGTAATACTGCATCTCAGTTTTCTTCTAAACAATTTATAAAACGTTAGATGTAATTGCACTTTAGGCTTACGTGAGTACCTTATTTAGAACAGCACCAGGCACATAGCACTTGATAAATGTTAACTGCTACCCTTCTTATCAAAGCAAGACCTTGGAGCCCCATTTTATGATTCTTCAATTTTGTAGGAGAAACTTGTGCCTTACGAGTTATAAAACAAAAGAAATACCAAGAACTGCTGATGTGAAAGGGACAAACAGAGGGAAGAAAAAAAGAGTTGGACAGAGATGAGAGGACAGTTCATTCCCTGTTTGAAGTATAGATGAGAGGAATCCTGAGTGTCATTCAAGATACATAGCCAGAAATACTTATTCAGAGTTATAACAAAGCTTCAAGTTACAGGCAAAAATGAACATTTGCTTGAAAGAGGTTAGAAAAGCATTTATGAGCAGAAACAGTCAAAAATTTGAATACAACTAAGTTCCATGAGAAAATAAAAGGTGTACCAGTCAGGGAGGCTGAGTTGCCTATGGAACTAGTCACTTACTAACTGGTGCCTTCTATAAAGTCTTTTACCCTGGAGCACCAGTAAAGATAGCAAAGCCAGCTCCTAAAAAATGGGAACAGGCATCTTAAACCCTGTGTGTGAAAGACTGAGCATCCCAGGTGGGGCAGTGTGTTTTGATTCAAGTTCTGGGTGACAGTTGGGCGGGTGTGTGGATGGAACCCGAGTTGTGATTGGCTGCTGGTAACCAGGTCACCACAGGATGCATTCCAGTTGGCTGGTGCCAGCCAGGTGCTTTCAGTTAGTAGGAAGTGGCTGAAGGAAGGAAAGCACTGACCTCAACTCTGGCAGTGGCTTTGCTTCTCAGCAGTTTTGGGATCTCTACCCTTTCTGGCTCACAGAGGACGAATCATCTTAGCGGTGTTGGGAAAAGGTGGTCAAGGGTGGGGCCTGCCTGCTGGACAGAGACGAAAGTACAGGGACAGCAGGAGAGCCCTTCTCTGCATTGTTGAGCTGGTCAATTGAGGGCTGAGTAAGGGTGCAGTGACACCCTATGGGGAACATTCTAACCTGTTGCGTGGCCCCCAATTGTGGCCAGTGCAAATGCAAAGGGTTACTGGAGTCAGACTGCGACTCTGAGGTCTATGGAGATGCGGGGGCACAAGTAACTGCTCCCCAGAAGACCAAGAAGTTTTCAAAGGGAGCCAGGGATGGACACCACCGGGAATATATCCATTACTGGAAGATGCCCAAAGGTAGGCAGGGGCAGATGGGGGGACACTGTCTGGCCCTAGGTGAAGCTTTCACACCCTCGGTGGCTTTGAACACTTTCTTTCAAGAGTTGGCTTTATTAGGGCTGGGCACTGATGGCAAGGATTTCACTCCAACTGTGCCTTGCTTTCCTACACTTATTTCTGTCCTCTCCTGTGAGGCCACTCTCTTTCCATCCCCTATCAACCAAGTTCTTGGCCCTACTCACTCCTGAATCCTATTATGGACCCTTTCTGTTAGTAGCACTCTCTCTTGTCCTGTGGAACTTTATTAGGACTTTTTTAGTATATTCTTTCCCTTTTCTTAGAGTTCAAATATGTTAACATTTACCTATCCTTACCCAGATTGCTACCAAAGTCAATGAGACAAGTAAGACCTGATTCTTACTTTGCTTACACCAGTGAAGGCAAGGATACGCTCGCAGTTCAGATCCCAACACTTGAGGGTTTCCTATGGAAATTCAAGCAAAAGTTGTCAGAGGGGTTTACATGATAACCTGACATTAGTCTATAGAAGCTGTTTCATCCTTCCAACTGAAATTTGAGTCCAGAAAAAAAGATTGACGGAAGGGAACATTAAATAAATAACACTCATGAGATCATGAGATGTTGCTCCAAATTTTTGAGACAAAACATGAACTGGGGGTTTAGTTAGGAAAGTAAAGCCATAGGAATTAATGTATCACACCCTGCCAGCTCTGGAATGTCAGTTACTCCTTAGCCCTTCTCCTTTCCTGCCCCACCTGCCAGTACAATACTTGACAACTGCTAAGATTGTCAAAGTGAAAGGATCCTGCTAGAGGAAAGAGATGAAATCTTTGGTTTTTACCCCCAAGAATTTGGAAAATGATCAATGTTGGTAAAAATGATTGTGAGTTACAAGTTGGTTCCTTAATGAAGACTATCCTTGTTTGTTTTTCCTTTTTGAAGTGCTGGGGATTTAACCAAAGCGTTTGTAACTTGCTCTATCCCTAGCCCTGTATTTTTTTTAAAACAAGTGTATTTTGGGACAAGATCTCTCTGTATCACTAAGTTCCCCAGGCTGGACTTCACCTTGAAATCATCCTACATGCTCATCAAAGACAGCTCTACTTAGAGAATAACACTAAGTCTTTGAAGTGGAAAAAATTGTATCAGGAAGATATGAGTCGCAAATGGCAGAGTTTATTTCATTACTATATAGGAAATGTCTTATAGTTTGTTCTTCATTTTAAGTTTAGTTGGACTCTTAGTTACTTTGTTAAGACTAAGTAAGCCCAAAGCCGGGCATGGTGGCTCATGCCTGTAATCCCAGTACTCGGGAGGCTGAGGCAGGAGGATCCTTGCGAGTTCCAGATCAGTCTGGGCTACAAAGTGAACTCAAGGCCAGCTTGAACAGCATAGCATGAGACCCTGTCTCAAAAAACACAAAAGAAAAAAAAAAGACTAAGTAAGCCCAATATACATGCCTTTGTAACATTTTTGGAACTATAAAACTCATTAAAGGATGAATAAATGTACAAGTTACACCTCTAAATGCAAAGCACATAAGTATTTATGAAAACTTACACTGTACTTGATGATATAAAGTAACACTCTGACTGATTTTACCAAAAAATTTAGAAGTGTAATGTATTGCAAATATGTACGAATAAAAAAAGGAAGAGCATAAATAGGACCTTTATAGAGTTCTTCATGATTTACATGTTCTCCTGTGTTATACATCGCACTTGACCCTTCCTAATACAAAGAAAACTCTGTACATTCTCTGTATTGTAGATTAAGAAACAAAGTTAGGAAATGACTGAGTGCTTCTAGCTACCTCCTAGTTCAGATAGACATGGATATGGTACAGATGCCAAATTCAATCTTTGCAGGGGAAAGAAAACTTTTCAGAATGCATCTTATATTGTATTCATAATGTAGACCTGTCTCTTAGACCTTACTCTCGTCGTACTTAGTTTCATTTAGGTTTTGCAAAACTCAGAGGCAACAGGTACCTTTCTGTGTCATTTGTGTACATTCATTTTAATGGATAAGAACAAAAGTAAAGTTTAAAAAAATAGCCTAAATTTTCTTCTGAAGTCAAAGCGCTGGTTCTAGGAACTCAGTTGAAGGTGAGAATGCTGTGAACATTAGGGGAAGCTGGCAAGAGGGCAGGGGAGGGCAGGAGAATGATAAGCAGCACTGAATCTGAAATACTGAAAAATATTTTGAGCATAAAGCCTGTTGTATTGTATTTATTAAATTTTACTTTCTATTTGTCTTTTATAATTGAATGCTTAGGGTCAGGGAAATGGCTCACTGAGGCACTTCTATAGCATGCAGAGAGCGCAGCTGGATCCCAAACACTGCAAGAAGGGTAGTGTTTTGGCACTGAATACAGTGACCAAAATCCTGGCTTATTTGACTTCAGTTTGCATAGATAGGAATACCACAAGGTCAGATAACAAATGTAAAAGATAGGTACATTGAAAATCTGCTTTTTGTCTTTATTTCAGGTAATTTTATATGATTTTCTCTGTAAAGTTCAAAATGCCTACTAAATTTTTTTATAAATTAAAGTGAAGAGTTTTATGGATGGGTTTTTTTTGTTCTCTTGTCAGTTATTTGAGAATAACATTTCTTCAAGTCATTTAAGTACCTAGTGTAGATTTCAGATATACACAAAATCATTTTTGTATTACTTCACATTTAGCAAGTTAAGTTGAACTATGACATATTCACAGATACCTTATGATTTGGCAAACCTTTAAAATGTAAACCTTTAAAATGTACCCTGTAAAACGTAATCGCATAGAATTCCATTAAATGTTAGTTTCTGGGGACACAGATAAAAATAATTTGGTTAATCATGAGTTATACTGTCTTATTATAAAATGCAAATGGTATATTTTTCTCATAATTTGAATCTATAGGATGAATTATTTTGGAGGGAAAGCATTTCAGTATTAAATATTCCTATGCCAAAATAAAATTAACTTTCATTTTTTGATCAGCATTAGAATCACTCTTCTGTACATTTGTCATTCTTTATAGCCTATTTCACACCTACATCTGAATAGCTATATTCTAAGACACCTTCAGCTTAATGATCTTAAGTGACAAAGCAAGAAACAGCATTAGAAGAAATCTTAGAAGAAATGATAAAGCTTGGAAAAAATATCTAGTTTTGAGGACACTGAAACAAATGTTTTTTGAAGAACCTATCAGTGCTCAGCACAGAGCAGATAGTGCTGTACAGACTGCCCCATCCTAACCCTAATCCTAATAGTCTAGAGGGGATAAGGATAGACAGTATTTGCATAATTTAAAAGTCAGGTGGTGAGGTGAGGAGACAAAGTGAAATTGGATAATAGTTGGGGTGGGAGACCACTTTTACCAGGGCAATGGAAGATGCCTATTTTATTTAAATGATGTCTAAGCAGCCCGAAGTGTGAGGATGATCTGAGTTGGGCAATGCTTCGATGCAGAGGGATAGCCCTCTCTGTTTTGATATCCTTAAATGGGACCCAATTCGGTTGACCAAGACATAAAACATGAAGGCAGCTTCAGGACAGCAAACAACATCACAAGAAGAACTTGTGGGTCAAAGTCTTTGTATGCCTAATGGGGTTTCACAAAGACTATTACGGACTTTAGTTGTCACAGGAAACCACGGGAAGATTACTGGCATAGGAAACTGTCTTTTAAAGAAAAATAGCAAACTAACTGTAAATTTCAGATATAAGATGTGTGGAAATGGACTTTAAAATATGACATATGTATTGCCTTAAAATCTGCCTTGTTTTCTCATCTAACTCCCAGAGTATTAAAATATTTAAGCTAGTCATGTGTAATAATACAGAAGTGATAATTTACAACAATTCAAAGAAATTGAGTAAAGCATTCCTAAGTAATACATAAGTAAAAAGAGGATTAATACAATATACAAATGTCACATCTCAGTCCCAATCAGTAAAACACAGAGTGAGGATTAAACAGTTAGGGAAGGACTGAAAATGGATGGAGAAGCTGATTCAGAGTGCAGATCAGCAGAAACTACAACAGAGAAGTCAGGTGAGAGTGAGCACTGAGCAGCAGTATGCAGGAGTTCTGCTTGCTGTGATGTGCCATCTGATCAGCACAACCAGCTCCAGTCAGTGGAAAGTGTGGATGCCAACAAAACCAACATTCTGCATAGAAATTATGAATCTACAATGGTTGTGTTTTGGATCTTAAAACTAATATAATTCATAGCAAAAGAATATTAGACTGGCCAGTGATTTAGCTCAGTGTTATAAGCATGTGCCTTGCAAGTGCAGTCATGAGTTCAATCCAGGGTACCAAAAGAAAAAAAAGAATAATAGACCAACTGGGTAAATGCTATAACCTTCAAATGAGCAAGTGCACAGCAGTTGGCAGAGAAACTGTGAATATCTTTTATTTAAATGATATTTATTGAAATCAGTGTCTCTTTCTAATTCTGATTTTTCCTGAACTGTTGATCATTGTTTTTCCTCTTTATTATTTTGATGAGAAACATTAATTCTTGATAGTTTCAAGCTGCATAATTTTAATATTTCAGTAGTGCATTTCATATATTCCAAGTCACATGTGTGACTTTCTGTTTTTAAAACTTCTTCAATTGAGATGGATGTCTCCATTGATAGTATCTTAGACATTAACAAAAGCAATATTACTTATCAGTAATGTTTTATAGATTTATTTCTCTCACAGTGGTTCACATGTAGATTTGAGTTAAATTTGTAAAACTGTATTTCACCTATAACAACTCACTGTGCTCCGAAGTTTAAATTTTAAATTCATAATATAAAATTAGTGGATATTCCAAAAGAGTTTTAATCATAATCTCTAGTTATAGTTTGAAATATTTGTATATATTTCTAAAAATCTTTAAGGCATTTGTATAAGTTTCATGATACTCAAAGTTTGCATTTTCTTGACATCTGTTTTAAGTTGTATGTATGCAGGTGTGTGTGTCTGTGTGTGTGTGTGTGTGTGTTTATGGTCCCTAGTGATTTGCTTTTTCCCTGGTAGTTACACAATCCTGATAGTGAAAGTAGAGCAATGTGATATAATTAGTGTTCCTTTTGGCTCTTGGAAATAGTTAATAGACACTACAGTATTAATACAGTACTTATCAGTTTACTGTCTAGTAACCTAAATGTCCATTGGATAAAATGGGAACACATGATGTTCACTATTAGCAGAAAGAGCAAGGAGTATAGATAACTGCGGTGGGCACACGATAAACTAGTACTTCCTGAAAGCTGTGCAATGAAAATGTTCTAACATACATAAAACTGATGTGAAAATAACCAGTGTGAAAATTCCACTATTAAGTGTGGGACAGTAGTCAAACTGTCGTCAGATATTTGTAAATTAAAGGCACAGTAATGTTTCTCATGCACATTCACAGGATTTTAACAAAACAAAATTGGGCTTGGAGTTCAAGCCATATCATTGGTACCACCGTACCCTAAAGTGCCCTTATGCCTTTACAAATGCAATTAGCCCTGTACATTCAACTAAGAATTCCCTTCCTTTTTGTCTAATCCCTGCATCTTTTAAAAGCTTTCCTAATCAAAAAAAGATGATTTCTTTTAAAATACTATCTATTAAAAAAAGAAAATACTATGTACATGAATATTTTTCTCATAATAAAATCAAATTTTATGAGTGACTAAATCTTCAACCAATAGGAGATTGGCTACATAAAGTACATAATAACTTGCTGCACACTTATGGTATCAAAAGAGCAAATATGCTCAAAGCCTGATCATTTTGTGGTATAAAATATGCAATGAATTGTATATTGATGTTATTTTTTCCTTTTTAATTCTTCTGGAGATCAAATCCAGACCTCTGTGCTTGCAAGGTATGTTTTTCACAATTGAGTTATGTTTCTGAGCCCAAGAGCTGTTTTTAAAACATGCATAATCAAAGCAACTAAAACAAATGGTTGTGAGTATGTTGATAATTTTTAAACACAGTACTGTGGCATTTACAAATTGCTGTTCATAATATCTGTTAAATGAGTCAATGACTCTTGTAGGTCCCCACCTTGAGTGTGATCATCGGTACCGCTGATTAACCAGCACCTTTAACAATTATAAATTATGTAAAATCTATTCCAAAGTAGACTTGCAAACCAGGTAGTTCATGCAGGTTGATCATGTACAACTAGGCCCAGGAAGTAACTCTTCTCAAAAGTCCATGTCAGTTCTCTTCCCCTCTGTCCATCTCTTCTGTCAAACATTTACTATTCCTGATGGCAGAGGTCACCACCAGCAGCTGCCAGTTAGCTAGATAATAGTCCTAGTGTCTTTCTCCTCTGGTTGTTGGGAGGTCTCAAGAGAGTTGTGATGCACTGACCAACCCTGGGTCATATGCCTCTTCTATTGCTCTAGAGAGGGTGCAAGCCTTTCCTTTGGGCTCATTTCTTTTATTTTTGCACATTCTCCTTATGTTAAATACCAAACTTCTTGAATTTTGTCTTCAGATACATAGTCTTGGAGACAGAGACAGAGAAATAGAGAAAGAAAGAGAAAGAGAAAGACAGAGAGAGAGCGACAGAGAGAGAGAGAGAGAGAGAGAGAGAGAGAGTGTGTGTGTGTGTGTGTGTGTGTGTTTAAACTGATTCATCTTATTGTGATACTTAGTTTTTCTGGACTACATACAAAATCTGTCATTATAAAGGTGCCAATACCTAATATAGGTCTTTCTATAATTTATTTTTAATAGTAAAATAATTCTACAAATTATATTTAGAAATTCAAATATGCACATATTGGTGTTTTAGTAGCACATGGTCCTAAAGTTGTCAAAAGCTTTGGAATACAGATGACCATGAAAGTCTGTACCTTTCTCCTTGTGCATAAAGTGGCTTTATTTTTCCAGATAACTAAGATTGTCTCATCTTCTCAATGACATGCAAAAATTCATGAATTCTTCAGGAGTTCTTATATAAGAATTATTTTTACTGAACTTGATTGAGGAATTACCATGAAGAATAAAGAAAGGTTTTAGTAAGTTGATAGTGATGTCATTGTACCTTTAAAATCAATTATTCAAATTCTTGTTAAATCTGAAAGGTCAATACGATATGTATCCAAAATTCTAACCATAGTACTCAGAAGGGACAACAGTAGTATTCAAAGAAGGTAAATTTGTGAAGTACTGCGTTAGACAGCCGTCACTAATAGACTGATTATTTTTTTAATATATCAATGCCCATTTTGAATTTTGCAGGGCCAAGGATATACACAAGAGTGTGACTGGACCACTAAACACTCTAAAGTAGAATAATTAATAATATGTGCTTAAGGAAATATTGCTTAACCACTAGTTTTTTTTGAATATTGGTACAGTTTGTTACAAAACTAGTTAAGTAGCCTGAGATTTTTGAGGACAGTCACAGCACACACCATAATGACTTTTATTATTCCTTATAATAGCAAATTATGTATTATTGAAGTTTAAGACTCTGTTTTATAGTATCTACTAAAAACAAGACTTTCCCAATCTAGTTCCAAGTTGGACTTCTGGGCAGAAAGAAGAATCAAAAATGTATGTACATGGACAAGTTTCTAAAAAACAGTTTTTCTCAGAAAGGTGTTTACAGATTAGCACACAGGATTTTAATCCGAGATCTTCCATCATGTATAGTCTCTTAAAAGCACAGCTATCAAAATGAGTTGTCTTGTTGAATGCAGCTAGAATTAGCCATGTGATTCATGGTCTAAAGAACGTTTGATGTTTTTAAACATTTGTCACATTGAACTGGCATCTAACAGAGCATCCACAATGCGAGAGCAAGTGTTTGTTACTCAAAACCGTTCCTGAAATGTGCCAGTAATACCAGCAGAGAAGGCCATCCTAGGCCATATATTCATCTTAAAGTGCACTTGGTTCATGGAAAAGCTACATTACATTATTTAGGTAAAATTTTACAATAATAAGTCTAAGATACAGCCTGTTTGATTCTGTATGTGAAAAGGGATTCTACAGCTTTACAGTTCTCTGGGAGAATCCTTATATTGTTGCCTTCATTTTACTTCATTCACATTCATAACTAAAAACATTTTACAATGCTGATAACATGATTAAAGGTATTGGGAAGCTGTTTTGAAAACTATATACATTTCTACTGAATGAAGTCATGACTTTTTTTGTGTGTGTTTCTCTGTAGAAGGAGCTTCGAAATTAAACCCTTCAGATGATCCAAAGATACGCACAATTTTCCTGAGCAAAAGTCAAACATATGGTAAGACTACGCTTCCCCATCAATGATCAGGCTGAAAACTATTGTCATTTTACATGGTTGATACATTATATGAATATGTACAAGAAATTACATATTGGATTCAGTTTTTCAATTTTTTAAATGTGCATTTTCCTTTTAATATCTGATTATATACTTTCTTTTAATGTCACTCTACAATTGAGAGCTTGTCTACTCTCTGTTAACACATTTTGCTGCCTCATCATCACTACAGCAGGCCACATGATTAAGGAAGGGGTCATGGATTTAAACTTATTTTTCTGTAGTATTTTGTTCCTTTCCCCTTGTTCCACAGGAAATGTTTTAAGGAGAAATAATAAAACTTAGTTTACACTTAGATTGTCTTGTCATCATATTTTAAAAATCATAGCTACAGATATGCAGATAGGTATATATGTGGATATAGCCAACGAGAGTCCTACTGAGTCATCCCTTCGATCTCACTGTTACAGTGCTATAATCAAGTGAGCCTACCTCACACCAGATTTAGGATTTATGGCATTCTCAGGAATTTTGAGTTACCAAAAATGTTTTGATCCTATGAAGAAAATCTGTGTAAACATACTCTGACATTTCCTAAGGGGTAAGGCAATGTGTGCAACTACTGTAAATTATTGTGTCCTGCTTACTCCAGAGTGAGGATCAGATTTGCGGGACATTGTGAAACCTAACTTCTCTTCTTCATGTTTGGATAAATTGCCTTTGTTGTTGTTGTTGCTGTTGTTTTATTGTGTTGTTAAAACTGTGATATATGACAAAATTTTCCAGTTGATTACAAGAGTAAGAATTTAAGGAATGAACCCCCTGTAATACTTGGGAAAATGCAGCACAGTGAAAAATGGGGATTCTTATCTATATTTCCATTTCTGTACAATTTTCTTTTTCAGCTGGTCATTTCTGGTTAGCATTGCTGTGTTTTTCCATTTCTTCCGGAGATATATGTGCCTCTCACATGTAGAGTGTGGAATAAAATACAAACAGATCCACACTCCTCTTCAGGGGAAAGGAATATGCAGATGTCTAGCTTTAGACCAAACAGTATGGGAAATGCTGCGGTGGCCCATGTAACTCTGGAGTGTTTGCTTTATGTACTTCATTAGGCCATAATGAATTTGTGTGCTATTGAGAGGCTGTTCAGTTAGATTAGCACATTCATTTCAAGCTCGATATTTCAGGTGGATTAATTTACAGTTGTCTAATGAATCACTAATATTTTTAGTAACATCTGCATTAACTTAGTAGGTTATGAATTCTAGAGCAGAAAGACAACAGTGCCTAACCAGAAACTTGTTCATAGAGCCGTCTGCTATTAGATATTTGTAATTAAGCTGTAAAGCAATATACAATTACAAAGTACTGTGTATTTACTCAGGAAAGTCTGGTAAAAGGAGAGACATGTAATAAGTTAATTTTTTTCTATTAGCTAATGTTCCCCGAGGATCCAGTTGTACAATTTTCTTTCATGTAAGGACAGTCTGTCATTTTTTAAGGTAAACGGAAGGTATAAATAAATATTTAGTTTTCACTTTATCAAACATGTCTTGGCAGATTATTGGCTGATTTTGGTACCCAGTTCTAACTCACTACCTTGTGCTTGCCAGGCAGGCACTGTGCCACTGAGCTATATCCACAGCACTAGATGATTTACATTTAAAAGTAAAATACTCATTTTGTATATTCTGTATATTTACAATCCATCAGATATTTTGTAGCCAGTTCAATGCACTTTTCTAAGGCATTTGCATTACAATAATTTAACTAGGTTTATTTCTTTTTTTATTCTTAGTGTATGAGCAGAGGAACAACACCCATCTCAAGCATGTAAGTAAATAGTTGATAAGAAATTGAGTATATCTATTTGTATCTGCCATGATTTCTAAACAAATATAATGAGGAGCCAGTCTGTTACCATAGACTTCCTTTTTTGCATTTTTAATGTATCTTGTATTTTCCTGAGATGTTTTAAGTTTGCTCCACAAAGTCTTTGAGTTAGTAATTTCCATTTTTAAGAGTTTCTGATATTAAGTTCCATTGTGGTAATATGGGCACAGTGTTAAAGGTTTGTATAAAACATTTGGCTTTAATTTTTTAATCTTTTTAAAAATTAAAGTAAACAACTTAACACATCAGTCTTTAGCATTGTCTGTTGTTTTTCCATCATAACAGGTGAATGTTTAGCTTCCTCCTTCCGCAATGACTTTATTCTCCCCAATTTCCTTCAGATGCATCATACAGTTTGATTTTTGTTTTTTATATTTATTTAGATCATATATTTTAAACTAAATAACTAATTATCATTTATGACTATTGTTTACTGCTAGGTTATGTAATAACAGTCACACTGTTCTGCCTCTTTGTACAATTTAATTCTTTATCTAAAATATTTCTGAAATGTACACAGCTCTGCACTGCTGCTGGATGATCCCTAAGGAGCATTAGTTCACAAAACCAAGTACGATAAGTAACCCCAGCGCTCTTTCTGTTTTCACATTCTTCCTCTTTGAGGGAGGTCAATTTTCTATTCTTAATGGGACAGTCTTCTTAACAACTATCCCTGCAATGCTGTAACATTAGTCACATGCCTGCCAGGACATTGTTCACATTCTAAAACACCCTTGCTTCAGTTTTCTACAGGAGACCGCCCTCACAGGCTTTCCTACCTTAGAGGGACAGGCTTGTCCTTAGGCCTGCTGCTTCACTTTCCCTGGAATAGCTCCTTGAAGTCTGTCTTCCATAGGGCTCTGTTGTGAGTGTCCTCACTGTCCTAGATTCTTTTGTTTCCTCTGTCCTGTGCTCCCCTGTTCTACTGGAAAACTTTCTCTTGTGAAAGGCCAAATAGATAATTTTAAGAAGCCAGCCTGTAAAGCAAAATATAGTTTTTAATAAAACATAGATTTGCAGGTTGATGCCAGTTTTCACAAAGCTCCTCTCATTTCTAGTGTTGCTCTTAACTCTGTTGTCCCCATATTACATACCTCATAAATAACCAGCTATAGCCACGCCCCCTTCTCTGGAAGCTTTTAAAGGCATCTCTATCTTAGGGATGCTGAAAGAACAGACAGGTTTGTTATTGACTTTTTCATCTCCTTGGGGTGGTCTTTAAAGTCTGAAAACTCCCTCTTCTTTTAAAGTCCTTGATATTTCCTCTAGTTTTTCTTATAGTTTGTTTATTCAAATATTGCATTTTTCAGACTTGTACTTCTTCACTAATGTCAAATTTCCGTCCTCTTTACATTTTTGACTTTTTCCCTGGGCTCTGATTAAATATTAGTTATTCCTTGAATTGAACTTTTTCAACCTGGTATTGAAATACTTTTAAACTTCTAATTTGCTCCTGAATTTCTAGCACTCCCACAAATTCCTTTGTTCCTGTTACAATGATCTCTCTTGTCAGAGGATTCCCTGAAATACATGGGTGACCCTGGCATTCCCTGGACTGAATTATTGTATGTGAGCAAAACTTCCATTTAACTACTGGGCTCCACTGTGAGAATTTGGCAGTGAAATCAGGTTTTCCTTTGCAGGGCTTTGGGCAACACCTGGGGGCCAAATCTCTTGGACAGCCTGATATCAGAGAAAAAGCTCCTCACCCTCTGCTGGAGGAATACATTCAAGGCTGCCTGCTTTCCTGAAACTGTTCATCACACAGTGTTTCCTCCACTAATGTCTAGCTCTCAGCATTGATGTACTTGATATCTCTCAGGTTTAATGTCTATGGAATGTAGTATCTGCATAGCACCTGCAGAGATGGAGGACAGGTGTACACTGGCTCTACATTCATTTCCTATGGTTTTTCATGGCCTCTGCTTCACACTTTATGCCAAGGTGCTCTGTGCCTCTGAGTGTCCTAATATTTTGCCATGTGAGTTAACAGTACTTTAACTTACAGTTTCCACACATCAAATATTATGTCCATTCTGGATCCAGGTCTCATGTGTAACATTTATTTTATCCTTTAATTCAAGTAATATTTCTGGAGCAAGTTGAACTAGCTGCATGTTCAATCATTCCACCATTTTTAACTTAGTTAAAACTTGCAGTTCAAGTGTAAGTGTGTCTTAGTTACCTATTTATTGCTGGGACAAAATACTCAACACCCACAAGTTAAAGGAGGTAAGGTGTCTTTTAGCTCACATTTTGTAGAAGTTTGAGTCCACAGTCATCTGGCCCCAAAGCAAGAAGTCATGGCAGAGGAACCTGAGAGCGAATATACACTGCATGGAATGGCAGGTAAGAAGCAGCAAGACTTCCTCCTCCTTTCACTTTTTATTTGATTCAGGCTATAAGCCTCTCGGTTGGTGCCACCCAAACCCAGGTGCATCTTCTCTCTCCACTAAGCCCATCATTCACACCCAGAACTATGCTAATTATCCACACAGAACTATGCTAAACCATTCATGGAACTAATTCAATGTCACACACCCATGATTCAGTGACCTCATCAGAAGTCTCTAGACTATAAGCACTAGAGGGTTAGAAGAAACGTCTAGTGTAAGCAATAACCAAATGTATTTAAATTAAATACATATAATGGTATTAACTTAGACCCTTAAAACTATGTGTCTCCAATAGACTAAGGATTCCTTTAACTTGTAGATGTCAGGTGATTTCTCCCAGTGAAGAGAAAGTAACTAAGAGTTTGGTGCTGGTAGGTGGGGTTATTGCTGTGTTGCTGCTACCTGACCATATGGTTCCGAAGCCTTTATAAGTGGCATGTAAGATCATTTGGAAAGGCCTAGAGATACCGGCTGTGTATTTTTTATTAAAACTGAAAAAAGTGAAAAAAAAAAAAAAAAAACAGTTTCAAAACTGGCTAGTGGGAGAGTAATAGGAAATGTAAAGTGTGTGTGTGTGTGTGTGTGTGTGTGTGTGTGTGTGTGTTACATTTGCAGAAAATTAGTTTGCACTTTGCTCATATTCAAAGGCTTTGTGAAAGGCCGAAATTAAATTAATCTGGTTGCAGAAATTTCAAGGCAGTTCAATGTTAAGGTAGTGGCATGGTTACTGTTGAGGGCTTTCATCCAGATCTCTGTTGAGAGCAAATGGCCCAAAAGAATATTTAAAATGTTTTGAGTTTGTCCAGAAAGAAAGAGCCACTTAAGCCATGTCTTGCAAAGATGGAAAGACAATTTGCTTGCTGAAAGATTACCACTAAAAAGCCAAACATTATGGAGGAGTATAATAGAAAAGATGGTCTGAAGGTTTCACACGAACCAGCAACACTCCACTGCCAATGCAAATGCCCTCTAGAAAGATTCTAAGGTCACAGGGATTCCAACCCACAGTTCCTTGATCAGTGACTATTTCCACTATGTGTCTTCCGTTATCACTGTAATGACAGTGCCACAACATTCTGCTTTAGTGTTCATTTGCTAAAACTGTCACTGATTGTTAGTGTGGTGACAGATCCCCTCATTATCTCATTGCTCAGCGGTGAGATTATTTTGAGAGGATAATTCAGTATCTGGATATCTAAAACATTTAGGGTTACTTGGACCACTGTGTAAGATTGTTTGCATATCTTCTGTCTCTCTGGTTGCACACTGTTATGTGGTTCTGGCTGACTTGTGCACACAAAATACACACAGAAACTAACATGTGCCATGACATCTCATCTGGATAGGCTTTTTAAAACTAAAAATAGATGAAAGTTCTTGAAATACTTACGAAGAAGGTTGGTGGAGCATCTGGATGTAGCTCTAATGGTTGAGATTTGTCAGGGGAAACCTACATAATTCAACATATTGATATATTTTAGTGTAGCAGCACAGGAAGAAAAATGGGACAGTCTGAGCTGTACGAAGTGAACTAAAGAGGAAGAAAAATGATGCATGAATATACTTTGTAAATGTCACATTAATTTTTAAAATAGGATTTATGTTTATTATTGACGTTTTTCATGGGAATACCTCATTGATTCCAGACATCCGCATTTTTATTTTTTGACAAAAGAGGTATCCCTTTGGTCCTTTTTTCGCAGATGTTCAGCAGGCTCTGTAATTACCAAAAAGATCAGCTTTGGTAGTGTAATTATTTTTGTTTTCCTAACTTTGTTGTTAAGTGTGAATGCATGAATCTGTTTGAACCTTTATGGTAATGGAGTACTCCTACTCACAGCAAAGAATAATTGTTTTCCATTTCATGAGTGAAGTTGTTTTCAAGGTTAAGTGATTGACATTACTGCATATTACATAAGTGTATGTCAAAAAATAATGTCTGTTACAGTATATATTGTGTGTACTATAGGTATACATAAGCCAGAATGATAGACATTTAGTGTGTTAAAATTGTTTTCTTTTAAATTTTAATGATTAAGCATCACTTAGAAATGTTTATGAATATTTTTGCTATTCTAGTTATCTTTAGAAATGGGAAAATGGGGCATGGACAGTTTCATTCTTAAATTCTTGATCTGAATTCATCTGTGGACCAATTGTACTCACCCAGAAGTGCTGTGTGTTGTTGATATCACCAGACAGGTTGTCTAAACATCTCATAATGTTCATATAGTTATACAAAATGGGTCATGCCTTTAAGGTCTTTCCCATGCTGAGAAAAAAATTAAATAAGCTCAATCTCTTACACTGTCACTGGAACACATTTTGAGAAATGTTTTATGATGCAGCTGTTGGCAGATATATTCCAGAATGTAGATGGGGTCAAATCTGTAGGATATGAACACGGAAAAATGCTTCTCAGGCAGCGAACAGCATGAATGAGGCGGAAATGTGTCCTGATAAGTGTCAGATAGCTTTAGAGAATTAGATGTAATCTTGAGTGTTGAGGCTTTCCACAAAGTGATGCAATGGAAATCCACCCAGAAAATAACTGAATGTTCAGTTCTCAAGTTTGTTCTTGTCCTCTATTTTAGATGTGAGGGAATCTTCACATAGATCTTGTGTAATCTTGGTAAGGGTACAGGTCCAGGTGAACTATGGCCCTGGCTTATTAGTGACTGAGCATGCCTGGCACAGTCCTTTGACTGTGAAATATTTGTCTCATCACATTAACACACTTAGTGTCACTTAATCAATTAAGAGTTAAGCTTTTGTTTGTTGTACTATACTGTTAATACTGTGCCAATATTATGCAAGCCATTACATTTTATTCTAGTTACTAACAGTACAAATAGAAAATCTTAGCTGTTTTTCTTGCTAAAAGTCCAAAATCTTATTTTAAACTTTTTATACTATTTATAAAATGATGTATACTAAATGCTTGTCAGATTTGAAAATAGGCAGAATAATAAGGGCTATATTTTACAACCTACTCCTCCAACACCCCTGAAAATAAACAGCCTCCCACAGTAACATTTTGCAGACCCATATGCATGACACTGCTCTCAGACCTTTCATGCAGTGTAAGAAATACCTTCATGGTTTGTCACTTGACATTTTAACCAAGGAAACAGCCCCAACATTTGGGAGTCTAACTTACTGTGACAATTTCTTCTACTGTCAGCTTACGAGGAAGTACAGCTCCTGCTCCTCAATATGGATGGATGAGAGCACTCTCAGCAAGCCTAATCATAGAAACATAGTACAATGGTGAGTACAGGGATGCTGCAGAGGCCTGAGTGACAGGTCCCCTACTGTTAAAACATTCCAGCCATGTTGGGTAAATTCAGCCATATGATTATTCTCTTCCTTGCCCACTTTCAAAGATTGCAGCAAAACATCCATATTGATTTTAAAGGCCTAACTGTGAATTTCCCATTTTTATTTTAATCTACTCATGGTAGAAGGGAACATGAGTTAGCAACTAAAAAATCCCATGAAAAGTGTGCCTCTTTAGAGTATACATGTTTGATGCAAGACACTGTTAAATGTAAAGAGAACAGGTGCTTTCTATTTGGATATTTCTAGAAAAGATAGTTCTCTATGAGTTACAGTCTTTAACAGTTTAGAAATGACTCTTGGAAAAAAGAATTGCTTTTCCTCTGTTGACACCCCAGGTACCAGCATTTGAATGTTTGCCATAATACATGTGCAGTGTCACCTCATGTGCTGTGTGAGCACCACTGCACTGGGGTGAGCGGCTCACCTGGATTATAAACTCAATACCATAACAAATTACAGATACAAAGTTTTGAAAGCATGTTTCAATAGAAAGGGAGAAAATAGCCATCCTAACAAGAGTTAGGGCAGGGAGCCCCCAAAATAAGGAAGATCCATACGCCTTTGTTACTGGATACCTTTATTGTGTACTAAGGACACTTTGCCCTGCCTAGAACTTACCATAACCCTCTTGGTTCCCAGGGATTTATTTGTATTGGACCAGGTCCACTTGCCTATGTCATTGCTTTGGAGGGCTTTCTGTAACTTCTATTTGTCCTTGAGAGGGCCTTTTCTCCAAGGTGGACAGCTGGTTGACTAAGAGGTGCCTTATTCATTGTTACATTTGAGTTAGTAATGAGATGTGTGTGTGTCTATTGTAGTGATATAGTGCTCCTAGAGTGGACAATATGCTGAACCTAGAGTGAACACAAATGTGTAAGTGTGTGTGCTAGTGCATAGGTGTGAACACACAAGTTTTCCCCCAGAGTTAGTCATTCCTTCTTCCCAGTCTGCTTCCCTGAATTCTATTGGAAGTACAAAAGGAAGGTTACCTTGGTTTTGTGTACAAGACTTTCTTTGTACTCTGTTTGTCAGCTCTTTCTCTGGTTTTGGGTACAAGCCCCTAAGCCATTTGGTGCCTTTATGTTTTGTTGTTTTGTTTTTTCACTACCTTTTTCCTTCACATTATTTCCAAGTGAAATTTTTCCAGGAGAGTTTTAATTCCTTCTATTTAGGATTAGCCAGAAAACCTAAGGAGTCCCCTATTTTATTCTTTTTTTTTTTTGTCTTTTTCATTTTTATGGGTACCAGGGATCGAACTCACGACTGCCTGCTTGCAAGGCAGGCGCTTATGCCGCTGAGCTAAATCCCCAGCCCCTCCCCTATTTTATTCTTTCCTACCTACAGTACTCTTTCCCATACCTATGGGTTCATAATCAGAGATGCACAAGGAAAACACCCTGATAGGAATCTTTCAAGCTTATTAAAATACCAACATCAAAATTCAGGCACACAACTTCTATTCTGAATTGCTAATGTCATAGCATTGCTATAGAATATTGCTAATGTCACTTTGGTTTTCAGGTTTGGTTTTTAGAGTGCATTGGCCCATTAGGCATCTAGGAAAGGCTTTGAGATGTTTACCATAGGGTAATAGTGCATTCTTCTTTCTTTTTTTGGTTTTGTACTGGGAATCGAACTCAGGGTGTTATGCTTGCCAGGCAGTCGTTGTGCCACTTAGCTCTACCCTAATTGTTCTTAATAAAATGTATAAACTTTGTTAGAATCACTGATGCAACTTTATCAAATTATATCTCTGGAAACACATGCATTTTTCCCACTTTCATCTTCCCTTTCATTCGTGGGTACTCACAGCACTTTAGAAAATCAAGGATGAAGTTTCCATGTAGTAATGTACATAATGCATGCCCAAAGATTGTGACATTTAACTGTTAAGGCATTCACAAACATTGTTGCTAGTGGAATCACCTGGGGGAACTTCTCAAACACTCTTTGTACCAAATTGTTCCCTGTGCCACTTAATCATAATGTCTCAAGTTGGAATTATGGATCATTGTAAATCTCCTTGGGTGATTCCAGTGTGCAGGAAAGTTTGGGAACTACTGATCCAGAGAATACTATATAGGAAAAGAATTGCTTCTGACTATTTGGTGGGATTTTGGACAAGCTTTGGTTCCCTTATCTGTAACAGTTGGTTGTTAGATGAAATTTCTAATAAGTTTTGGTGAACCTTTTCAATGTATGGTGGTCAGTCTCTGATTAAACTCAATTGGGAGATAAACTGTTTGAAATACCATAAAAATATGCATCCATGATGCATATGATGTGAGAATTTAAATTTTAAACATATTCTGGACTTCTTTTGAAATTCAGCTTTGTCTTCCCTTGATGATGTTAAGCTTCCTTTTAAACAATGAGAGCAAATCAAAGCATATAACTCACTCAAGGGAATCCCTTTGTACCCTAATAAACAGCAACTATGCATAATTTAGTGATACAGCAACGTACTATCTGAAGGGTTGTGTCTGCCTATTAATACTTTATTTAAACGAATTTGGAAATATTTCCCATGAATATTGTACTGTACAGATGTAGGCTGCATTACTATCACTGATTTTTCAGCATAAAACAAGTATTATCAGTTTGGTGGCCACTTGTATTTACTACATAATTTTTTCTTGTACTGGAGGAATGATTTTCATTTTGCTATACAGCACTTTCATAATTTACTTTCAGGGAAATAATGAAAATTATGGGCAGGTGAATAATGAATAAGTCAACTAAAATAAATGCACGGGCCTCAAAGTTTTAAAAAAAATTATGTGGTTTAGTTTTAAGTATATGGGCAGATATGTACAATTTGTGCAGGGAAAGAGATTATATGGGTAAAAACACAAATGAAAGAGAAAAATATAATAATGTATAGTTAAAAAAGATGTCCTGATGTCATACTTCATAACATTTGGCATCTGTCCACTATAAGCAAGTTAAATGAAACGGGCAAGTACCCATTGATACTGTTCTGATAACTGGAAGACAAGTCTATGGGAAGGTTCCCCTTGAAAATTTGTCTTCAATTTACCAATAAACTTGGTTATTACCTATATTTTTTTCTTCCCACAGTATGACGTTGGCAGTGTATTACCACATAAAATACAGGTGAGCTCTTAAAATCTTGCCTTATACTTCAACTTAATTTACAGAATACCTATATATTATCAGGCCCTGGCTGCAAACATCAGAGGTTGTACTGTGCTTTTACTAATAGTTGGAAGGAAGTCATTTCAGGTTTCTTGTTATTATAATTAGGTCTGTTGAAAAATATTCTGTTAAAGATCACAAAGGATATTTGCTTCCATAGATTATATTGATGTGTTCTGTTTAGAAATTAAGAGTGACAGTTAAATGCATATGTGTTTATGTGTGCCTGTGTGTGTGCAGGCGGGAGGTGTTAACAGCATTTCTTGATCGTGGATCTACTGACATTTTAAGCCAGGTACTGTTTGTTGTGGGGCTGTCCTATGCAGTGTAGGATGTGTTACAGGACTGCTGTCCTCTGCCTAGTAGATGCCAGTCGCTTTCTCCCTCATCTTGTGATAACAAACAATGTCTACTGTTGGACAAGATCACTACAATTAAAAACCACATTGTTAACACACATAACAAAAATGACTATCTTTTATAACTCTTTTACATTTCTGTTCCCTTTCTACATTGGGTGAAAAATGTATCTCTATTTACACTGATGTACAAGTCCCCATTTGACTGAATAGAACACAATTAAATTCACTTTTTTCTTGATTCTTCGGCAGTTCCTTTGGAAGAAACAATAACAATAATAACCAATCACGTAGTTATATATATTTGGACATAAATGTGTTTTTGAAATATGGATCATTATGGATAGTCTTTTACTTTACATCACACACTGCAACCATTAGTTTCTTAAGTTGGGTATAAAGGAATTTTACATTGTATCTCTGAAATTGCTACAAAATAACACTTCTTGGTGTATCTTTCACAGTAAACAATTCTTTAACAGTACATGATTCATAATATACATCAGTGAGCTTTGAAATTACCAATTCAGATTTTTTTTTACAACATCCAGAACATTTTTGTTATTATCATCACCAGTCTTAGCAAAAAGTCTTCCAGATACTGAGGGTCTGTCATAGGAAGATTTGAAGGTATACATTTTCCATAAATCTCAAAGTTTTAGATTCACTGCTTGAATTTGACATTGGCAACAACTATTTCTTCACTTTTCTTGAAGGCCCATTATGTTCTCTATTGATATATCTAGTTTCATGTAAAAATAAAGTTATATGATAAAAAGACTGTTAAACTCACAACTAAATCAGAAGTGAAGTTCTGAGAACATACTTCAGTATGCAGAAATGCTTTATGTGAACTTTTCATTTATTCATAATATCAAAAAGATGATCCTAGATTTACCAACATTATTCTTTGCTGTTTCATCTTGGGCAAGTATAAAAGGTTTTTAAACAAAACTGCAAGGGACAATGAAAAATACAATGACCTCTGATGTAACTTGGTGCCCCAGGCTTGGTTCACATTACAAAATTGTAAGTTTTGCTTTTGACTTTATACAAGCATAACAAGTGACCAACAGTCAAAAAATAAGTAATTGCTTCATGATTGTAAGAGCAATTTGAGCTCTTGAGCCTCCTGAAAATGAGACTGAGGAATCTCCAGAGGTCCAGAGACCACAGCAAACCATTGCTTTATAGGAACATAGTATAATACTTTAATGACAACACTGGTCTCTTATACAAAAGCTGCTACATTTTTTAACAACAGAAACACAAATGCATGATGAAAACATAGAGGACTGAAGAAAAGAAAACTTTGGAGATCTAAATCTCATTCACATTTACTACACTTCTAGGTTTGAATACCTAGCAGTGCTGGTTTACTAGCATTGCCTGTAAGGAAGTGTCATTACTTATAGGCAACTTAGTCTGGTTATCTTAGAAAAGACTTCACAGTACTTGAACACAGCACTAAACAAAGCGATGTCTTAAGGTCAAAATGAAGGAGAAGAACTTGTAAAGCTGTTTGATATGTTGAAGGTTAGGCCTCTTTCTCCATGGTCCCCTATCCTTACCAGTTACTTAACTAAGATATAAATTACTTAGATGAACTTTTCCTTACAGAGATGCAAATAGATCCTTGGATATTTTTGATGAGAGACTGCACCCACTCACAGTAAGTGTCAGTATTACAAGACCATCATTTTTTACCTAATCATTTCTTTGATGCTTTTTCTTTTGATATTAAGTGCAGAAATAAATCACACACTTCGATTTGAATTTAAATCATGTGCTTTCCAACCTCATGTTGTATGACATCTTCTATGAAAAGAACTGTTCTTTAGGGTTACAAAACGGGCAAAAGTGGCTTAAAGCTCTATTACTGAACTAAAGTGAATAAATGTACTACTCCAACATCAGAAAATGTAGGTTTTCAAACACAGTTTTCAGTACAATCTGATATACACATTAATGAATAGGTGAAATCTTTGAGGAAAGAGGTACTTAAAACTCAATTTAAAAAATAGTTGGATATATTATAGTAAAATTTTTGTTTTTCTATTAACCTCGCTTGAGCACCTGTATTGCTCTCCTATCGTGGTCTGATTTATTTCACTCCTTTCTGTTTTGTTTGATGGTATCAAGTTTGAGGATATAGGCAACCAATTTGAAGACAATAAGATTTACTATGATGGCCATTATGTTTTCACTATTATCTACTTTTGAAGTCCTGTAAGGTCTCCAATGTAGGTTTTATTGGTCTTGTTCTGTACTGTTTTGCTCAATTTTATTGTACCTGATGATATACATAACTCTTTATAAGATACCAAGAGGCATACTGGTAACCATTGTTGATCACCTGGTATTCTGTTTTTGCATCACGTACTAAGTCCATCATTCTGTTCTAACTAACTCTGTTTCATTTTGTCACATTTGTTCTTTTTTTTGCTTCAAAAAATAGTTGTAAGATCTGTGGGAGTAATAAAACTGAAAAGTGTAATTGTTGTTGTAAAAAAGAGAAGAAAAGAAAGTGATCTACAGGATATAACTGCATGTATATTTACGTGTGTAGCATAGGAAATATTATTACTGAGTTTTTGTTGGACCATTGAAGAGAACTGTCTGCAGTCTCACTGTATGAATTTCCACTTTGTATGCTTTAATATTGTAACTTGGACAATTGTTTCTAAGATGAAAATATGTAACCTGCTAAGTAGGGAGTTCTTACTGCATATATTTGTATAGAAATTCTGTATTAGTTGTACCCTTTACTGCTTTGTTTTGTTTTGTCTTCTCTTTGAATAAAATAATAATAATAATTTTCAATAGAATCTGATATACACATTACTGAATAGGTGAAATCTCTGAGGAAGAGTTAGGTTTGAATGATGTAAACTTTAAAGTCAGTTCCTCAGGCATATTATCACTTTTCACTGCTCAACCGTCATCTGGCTGCTGACTTGCAGAAGAGGTTGTGGCTGCAGGACAACAATTGTATATTTTACACTCCAGGCCATGTACAAAGAAATACAACATACAATTTAAAAGACTTTAAGGCTATAAATGAATCTGAGAATGTTGTGAATCACAGTAGAAAGAAATACTGATTTTTCCGACCTTGCACACTTCTCTTCTTCTTACTAATGGAGTACATTTTGAGAGATGTATTGATAAGTCATTCCAATCTTGTGCAAACCTCAGAGTGTGCTTACACAACAAAGATGACTCTGGTGCACCATGTGGTCATTATGGGGCTGCTGCTGAATATGTGATCCTCACTGACCAAAGCATTGCTGGGCAAAGTAAAAGATCCCAGTGTTTCTAGTAGAAGATGAAATGACACACAAGCCATGGGAAATTATTTTAAGGAACATGTGAACATAAGGTGAACTTTGCTGTCTTAAGAATATTTAAAGCTTTCTTCAGTTCATACTTGCATTGCATCATTACTCCTTTCAGGAAGAGAAGCTTCCAGAGGACTACTTTCAGCATGATCCTGAACATGAATGTATATACAGATTTGTTGCTATTATTTTTAATGCCCTATGCATACCAACTGAATGCGCAATAATGACTTTGGTAAGATGTTTCTTCTTTATCAAACATGCATAGAAAATGGTCTTTTACACATAAAAGTCACTTTTTTCAAGTTAGATTCCTTAAATAATCATGAGAACTTTACTAAGACCAGCCTTTGTTACATTTCTTTCATTGCTGAGACAAAATAAAGGCCACCCAAAGTAAAAAGGGCAAAAGTTCATTTAGCTCACAATTTGTAGTGATTTAGTCCATAATGTACTGGCTCCAAAGTTCAGTGGAACATACCATAAGAGCAACAGCCCATGTCAGTGGAAGAAAGCAAAAGTAATAAGAGAAATAGGGAGAGACAAGCTTCTTTCTGTTTCTTACATTTTATAGAGTCGGCTGGAATTAGGGCAGTGCCAATCCAACCAATAATCTGACCCAGCAACACACACCCTTAATCCCAGCCTTCCATAATCTAGATTCACCCTTCTCTAAAAAGGTCCTCTGAATGCACATGGCTTTAGGTGGACATCTAGACACAACCATAAAAAAGCCTATCAAAAGAAAGTAAATGTATTTGGGTTCCCTAGGCATTATCATTTAAAATGGTGTCTTTAATTTTCTCATCACAAAACAACTGCAATTAAAGGAAGCTGAAGAGTTTTCCACACACACATCAGTACACACACAGTTGACACTGAGAACACTTACACATGCTGCGGGGTGGGAAGGAGAGCATCAAAAGGACCATAGGAGACACAGACACTGATTTTAGGCTGATCAAAACAGGACCCAGGCTGTGTTTCAGGCAATTCACTGCCTTCAGTTCTCTAGTCTTTGGGGTATGGGTATCAACACATCCCTGTTGACAGCTTGTGGCTATTCATGAAGTTGCCCAGGGTGACAGTGCCAGTAGTTCTTTAAAAAGTTTTGTTATCATGATACACTGTAGCTGTGTCCTCATATTTGTGTTATCCACACAGAAGTTGGAAGGTGGGATTTTATCATCTACAATAATGGTGAAATGCTTGAGATTGTTCTAGTCCTTCCTCTACCAAATGCAGAGTGGAAAGTCATATACATAGCCTGAAGACAAAAAACACTTAAGACAGTAGTTGCTCTGATGGCATTTAGTCAAGAGCTTGGAGAGGAAGCTCATGCCCTGTGTTGAAACAGAAACCCGTCAGGGACATTTCCATTTGTAGAGATAGATAGCACAGCAAGCAGAGCTGGGTTGGAGGTGGAAGTGTCCATGGAAACAAGGTAAGCTTGATGCTCCTTGAAATAACTGGGGCATATCTTCATATCTTTTGGATGTATGGGTACAGGCACAGAAATGTGACTAAGAAGTAAAGAAAGGTGGCTGTTCAAATATACAGAATGAATTCATTGAAAAGTGGGCAGGAGTCCTTAGCAGTTAAAGGAAAAGTTTCCAAAGGAGTAGCCAGAGCAATGGGAGAAAGGGGAAAAGAGAAATCAAGGCGAGAGATGGTGTGGTCAGAGTCATAAATGAGGCTAAGAAGTTGCACTGACACTCACAGATACTCACTGATACTTAAGCTGGGGAAGAACAAAGAGATAGAGCAAAGATCTTGCTGTTTATGAGCTCATGATCTAGTGAAAAAGTCATGGGATATTTTTCAGGTATATGAATATCTCACATTGCAGTAAATGTCAAGAAGACAGAGCATTGTAGGAGGCTGAAGAGTGATTTCAGAGCTTTCAGTTTCAGGCAGAGTGACCAGGAAGAGCTTGCTTCAGAGTGGTGACACTTGAAGTACAATCTGACTGGAGCAGGGAAGGCAAGGTGCTCATGCATTACATTCAAGAGGGTAAGATGCAGGCCCCCAGTTCAGGAACATGTTACATGTGCTCAAGCAAGAGCAGGGTGACTAGCATGCTGTAGGTAAGGATCACTCTCTCAGCGTCACGCATCATTTGCAAAGCATGGGAGGTTGATTGGTATCATTTGGTAGATCTTGATCTACCAGTGAATTGTTCCTTACATGTCAGGGCTTTCCAGACGGTCTTGGGGAATGTAAACTGCAGGTGGGGCTTGGATTAGAGGCAGAGATGGAGGGTTAGCAAGCAACGTGGTGATGCAGATGACCACAGACAAATGGAAGCTCAGGACAGAAAGTTTTCTTTCATGTTACCAATGGAAGTAGAGATAACAGAAAGTATGCATAGATTGGTGTGGAATATGTCAAAGTATAAATTTTGTTCATAGTACTAGAGAAGGAGCAGTTCTGCTTACATATTAGGAAGGGTTGGAGAGTGGAGTGTTAGAATGCATAACTGGTGTGTAAGTTTGCATGCCACAATCAGATTGGCAAGACTGTTCCAGAAGAGTGCAGTGATACAGGAAAAATGGTTAAAGGAAAGAAGGGGAAATGATGGATATGCATAGGCATAATACAGTGATCCAGGTAAAAGGTAGCAGTCTTAGTGTTTCAGCAAGGGAGATGAGAGCAATGTAAACCACCTGTTGGGGCGGGGGGAACATTTGATGTAGAAAGTCTTCAGAAAGACGTAATTAGTGTCCAGCAGAAGTGGGGTGGGGCACCAATACTGATGGAAGTGTTTGTCTTGTTTGAAAGTAAAGAACAGTGGTCCATTCACATAACAGGCAAGTGGTACAAATGAATACTAACCCAAAACAAAGCCATGGAAATGATGAACAGGGGTTGAGGATGACCAGCATTGTTTCATTATCACACATCATTTATATACAGAAGAGTTGCATCCTGGAACAGTATCATATGTAGAATAGCTAAGGGCGCAGGTATTGGAGAATGAATACAGTCAAGGTTTAAGAATATTACCTGATATGGACTGCTAGCCTGACAGCTTACAGATTGTAACTATGCTCTTAAAAGTGAGCCCTTTTCTTTTTAGTCATGATAGAAAGAGTTAAAATAGCATATCTAGTCCATGAGCTCTGCTTCTAAAATTTCACCATTTGGGGAAATTTTACGGCCTTCTTTTCCCTTGTCCTTAATGCTTACATGTCTAGTATAGCTACATTTACTTGGAATTCACCTTGAATTTTTTTAGTGTAATACCCTAGAAATGATTTCAAGTATACAAGGATGTGCATAGGTACATGTACAAATATTAAGCTTTTTATCTAGGAGACTTGAGCATCAGGAAACTTTTGAATTGATCAGATTTAAGTAACAGCAAACAGCTTCCTCTGTAATTCTTACTCAGCAATTTGCTCACCTCGTTCTTTGTAGAACAGATGTTTGATATATGTAAACAGTGCCTGAGGTCAGGTCATGAACTGCCTGGAACTTTAGGGCTCCCAGGGTTACAGGCTGGCAGCTGTTCTTCTCATCATAAAGCCAAAGAATTGAATAAGTTGCTAATTATGTAGGAAGGAAAATGGATATTCATGAATAGTGGAAATATGAAAAAGGGCTCTAAGAAGGACCATCTTGTTTTACAATGTGGCTTCATTATAAAGGTACTGCATTTCAGAAAAACTTCATAGCTGTAAGTCTTGCACCTCTCAGGCTGTTCTACTCATCAGCCATGGGAAGGTGCTTTTGTCTACCAGTTATTGCCACAAAAGGCTTAATACAATGAAAAGATGAAATGTGCTCACTGTGAGTTAGGTATCACAGCTGACTATAATGTGTCTAAAACCATTTTGTATCTACCACCTGTATGTTATATTGCATCTTGGTGGCACTTGGTATTTACTGAACAAACTTACACCTGTGCCCATCAGGAATGTGGAGGTGATAGCAATACTACCTGCTGGATGACTTTTGTTGCAATGTCCAGGCATTCCAATCAGCAAAACTGGGTAGGAAATTTACATGAGCAGCAGATGTGTCTGATTTACAGCTGTGACCTCACATTTTGCTTTAGCTGAGCACAATCTCTCAGTCCCACTTTCCTTTCTCATCACAGAATAAACATCATATACAACAGTTCTTAGCAAAGCACTTAAACAGAGCTAAAATGAAAAAGCGGTGCTCTACTCTACTCTTTGCAGGTTTACTTAGAAAGGTTAATGTCATATGCTAAGATTGACCTCTGTCCTACCAACTGGAAAAGGATTGTCTTGGGAGCCATTCTTCTTGCCTTCAAGGTTTGGCATGATAAGGCTGTGTGGAACATACTCTTCTGCCGGATCCTCCAGAACCTTGCACTCCAAGACATGTGAGTTTAAAAGGTTTTGGTGACTTTTCTATCCATGTTCCAGTTCACTTGTTCCCTTAAGGCATGAATTTTAAGAAATATTTTATTTTAAATGTTACATTATATAGAAAATAAAAATGAGCTTAAAACTATTATACCCTGTCAATCTACAGTATAGAAATTCATATTTTCCATCATTAATTAGTTTTAATGGATTATTATTGTAATGGTATGCTTCATAAGTCGTAATTTTTTCTGGAGGTTGCAGACAAGTATTTTATAACCTTACCAGCATTACAACATATTACTGTGTTTATCTTCACGGCTTTTTAACAGCTTTCAGCGCCATTCCCTTCTTTAAGGGCTACCATGTCTGACTTTTGCAATAAATGTTTGATCACTGTTATATACTTGGGGCTATAGGTTTAGTCTAAGTCACAAGTTGTACCTTTGCTTTAGCTGGTCTTTACAACAGAATTTATTCCAGACTCCTGTGCCTGCCTACCCCTTATTAGGAGTGTTGTATGTGGGTAGAAATCAGTCTGGTGGGGTCTGATTTTATGTGTATAGAAGGCGCAAAGGCAGCTGCATAGACACATAGCACAGGGCTTTTCCCAGTCATTTCTCTTTCCACTGCACTAAACTCACCCGTGTGTGTGCACGTGCATGTGCATGTGCTTGTGCATATGTGTGTATGCCCACACATGTACATTCTCTTCTGGTGAAGGGCAGCAGATACTGATCAACTTCGATTTCCCCAGCACAGAAACATGGGTGTGAGGGCTCTGACAAAGTTCTGGTCCTAAAAGGGATTTAGTGCACCTAAGACTACTGTCTTTGATATTTCCATCCTCTAAAGTTTAAAATGGGTATCTTGTCATGGTCACAATTTGTTACCCCAGTAATAAGAAGCCTTTCATCATAGTCTCATATGCTGAGAGAGGGAAAAGGATTGCCTTTCTCATATAGTGTAATTTTTTTCCCTTCCTTGCAAATTTAGGATGAACGCTTGCTTGAAGAGTTTGCCCCCTCAGAGAGCAGAATGGTGCATCTTTCCCTGGTGCCCCTCTACTTCCCCCTCAATATGTCTGCAAGCTTTTGAGAGCTAACATTAGCATACATTTATTTTTTTCTCTGCTCACTGTAGTGATGAATGTGTGTGAAGCGTGAGTCACACCGATGCACTGCTGGACTTTGAAGAAAGAATCATGAGCCAGCAATAGGCAGTAATGAATAATCTATAACTATTCTTGTCCACCCAAATGCAAAAGTGCTGGGATACAGAAACAACTCAAAACAGCCTGTTGGCACATGAGTAGTTTTTCTTCCCAGTTAAGCAGCCTCCATATATCTCAGAATTTACAGCAGTCATTATTAAGAACTGTGAGAGTAATAAAACCCAGAATGTGTAATTGTAATTGTAAAAAACTGAGGGGTAGAAAGGGCTCTAAAGGATACAAGTGAAAGTGTGTTTACGTGTGTAAGATAAAGTTTTTGTTGGATCACTGAACACAACTGTTTGCAGTCTCACTGTTTGAATGTCCACTTTGTATGCTTTAATTTTGAAACTTGAACAACTATTTCTAATATGACATTATGTAATCTATTAACTAGTGATTTCTTACTGTTTGTTTTTTTGAAATTCTGTATTACTTGTACCCTTTTACTGTTTTGTTTTTCTTTAAATAAAAATTTTAAAGAGAATTTACAGCAGTCCTTAGAAGCTCAAAATGACATTTTCGAAGATAGTCTACTTGATCAAAATTGTCTGATGTTCATTTTTCTGTGTTCTTCCTCCACAGAAATCAACTGGAAAGGCATTACTTGTGTCTGCTTGAGTTTAATGTTAATGTGTCTGCCAGCACTTATGCCAAATACTACTTTGATCTTCGCTCTTTAGCAGATCACAGCAACATGTATTTTGTGTCTGCACCTCTCACCAAAGAAAGAGCACGGAAAATAGAAGTAAGGCTGTGCCTTCACTAAATAGGGTGTTCTGTGAGCCACTAATACCAGCATCTGTGGCTATATCATAAAAAGTAGTTAAGGAAAATGGCAAGTTTTGAAATTAACACTTTCAAGAGTTTACTAAACCTTTAGTGTGTGTCGTATATTTTAGTTCTTAATGGTTCAGATAGAGATCCACATTATTATTTAAAAGCTGTTCTATTTTCTTTGATCATAATTCAGAAAGTTTTAATCAGCATTATTCTGATCAAAATGCTTTTCCTTTTGAACCACTACCTTTCTCCATAGCCACACATGATAAACTACCTGGCCTTGTTTTCTTTATGATGTATACAAATACCGTTCACTTAATTACTTGTGCTTATTTTTTACTCAATTTTAAAATTCATATCAGAATTCAGCTGTCCTACTTCAAGACCAAGTATTCAGTAGACAGATTCTTAGTGGCTAACATGAGAGGCCTACATGTAAGATATGTGATGTGCATGTGGAAATTGGAAGTACATGAGTTTTAAAGGGAAGTGGCAGTTTACATAGGCAAAATAATGCACATGGTTTGTGACTTTTGGTGATCCTCCACCAAAACAACTGATACCTGAAAAGGATGCATACATTCAAATGGTACTTTCTGTAGTGCGTTGGTGGCACAGTAAGTCCCCAACTTACAAATATTTAAGTTGCAGGTTTTTGCAGATTATGAAGATTATTTCACTGGTGATTGCCTTTTCAGTGCTTTACATTGTATATTTGTGTCCAATGACTATAAGATTCATTTTGTTGGACTCACAAATAATTCTGACTCAGAAATATTCTCCCAGAACAGAACTCATTCTTAAACTGAGGACTTATCCATTTTGGAATATGTATTTTGCTCCTACAACACATGTGAATTTGAAGAAGCATCCTTTGGTGCTACAGAACTCTCCTGCTCTACATTAAATTCATAACAACTTCCAAGGAAATACCTTAGAGTTTGGAGACTAATAATGGTCAGATAGCATTGGAATAGCTGGGTCAGAATTTACTCATTGCTTTTGCACATATGTAGCTTTATCATTTTTAATATAGTTACATGATAAAAAAATGCTGTTCGTAGCTTATTCTATCACCAAATTTTGTCGCCTTTGGAAACTCCATTTGTAAAGACTGTAACTGAACAAACGTCCCCTTACTTGGTAATTGAATCATCATTAAAGAATTTTAGCGAATTGGCAGGTTGTAGCAGCCTCCTAACCTGGCAGGGCAGGTCTCAAACACCCAAAGCATCAGTGGCCATGAAGTAGCTAAAGTAAGTTTGTATGACTAAACTTCTGTGATTAGATTATTGTTTCTTTAAGGTTTCTGTCTTTTAAAAATTTTTACCTGTGTTCCTTTTGATGAACTTTCCTAGGCGATGTCAAGATACTGTGAGGATGGAGGCTTGCACAGAGGTGAAATTGGAAAATCTTCCAGTGATGACAGCTTCACTGGAATTCGACAGTCTAAAGCCATCCTGTCTTAAAAGAGATAGATGGGGGCTATGACATCTTAGACCCTCGCTTACACAAGATGGACCACCTGTCTTGCAAAAAAAAAAAAAAAAAATCCAAAGAGAACATTTTTGCCAAAAGGAAAGACCTTGAATTTCAGAAACTTTTGGACAGCGACAGTTGTATTGCATGGGAAGAGACCTTGTGAAAGCAGCAACACACTTCCTTTCTTCACTGATGTGAGCAGAGTTACTAGTAGTACAAAGCAGAAGCTCCTGGCTGACACAACCATTCGCTTACTTCACAGGCCAATGCCTGTGAACTGTGCAAGGTTTTAGGATTAAGAGTATACATTTAAGCTAGTTTAAAACTTTAATAAATGTTTAAGGTAGATTTTTTAAATACTATTTGTATAGTTTTCATGTCCCCTGCCACTATATAGCTTTGTAGACTTTTAGGATTATCGTAGTATTACTGTTAAAAAATGGGGAATCTTTTGTATTACATGGTGCTGAGAGAAAAATCCACATTCCTACCCATGTCTCATGCAGTATGTCTATTACTGAGCCATTCACCCAGTCCCAAAATGGGAGTATTCACACTCATGAAATCATTTAGGACTACACTGCCACATCATCAGTATTGAAGGTTCTTCCTTCCTGTGGTATCACTGAGTTCCTAGGCAGTCATGTCAGCAATTTTACACAAAAAATCAGCTGGATAGCACTTGCCACTCAGGTTCATTACAAGCACTATTTAGCAGCCTCATGACATGCCGTGTCTGTGGTCATAAAGAAAAATCATCTGCTATTGGCTATCTACTTTTATCGGGTTCATACAGAATCTTATGAGTTAAAAATGGTGCTGATAATTTTTGATGATTTCCCTTTGTTAAATAAACATGTCAGAAGATATTTCTATAATGTGAACCAATATGATGGTTCAATAATCACTACAGATAGTAAAGTACAAGGTGTCCCAAAACTTTCAGAGTAGTTTTATGCTTTGGCTACTATGTTTGTGCCTTTAAGGGCACTCGAGCAGGTAGAAAAGCTGCAAACATACAAATCATTATTCCTATATTTCAGTTCGGTGAGTTTAGAATATTATTCATTTATTCTAAACTTTTTCTAGTCTCTTAAAAAATGATAGAAAGCAGAACTGGAACAAAAGTTAAAAGCTTAATTTTTACATTTCCCAAGTTAATACTTCCAGATAATATATGATAATGTTTTAACTTCTGTATTTATACATAGTACCAAAGCTTAAAATGACACTAAGATTTTTGGGATGTTTTATAATGCAAAGAGCTTCCCTCTTGTTTTTGAGGAGTTCTTTAAGAGCTGTGCAATATCTCTATTATGAGTACCTAAATTTCTTGGTTCTTGATTTGGTGAAGGAGGGTTTTAAGAGCAATATTAATTGGCATGTTTTATAAAGAAATTGGACACCAACAGCAGCACTTGATATAAAAGTTTATTTTGAAACCTATCCTACATGTTATCTTGGCAGTAGGTACCCCCATTGGGAGCCCGATTATTTAAGACAGAAATTACACAAAACTTAGGGACATAATATAGGTTTTATTTTATTTTATTTTATTTATTTATTTGTTTTTGTTTTTTTCCTTTTTATTGGTACCGGGGATTGAACTCACGACTGCCTGCTTGCAAGGCAGGCGCTTATGCCACTTAGCTAAATCTGCAGCCCCTATAATACAGGTTTTAAAGGACAAAAATTAAGTAATTTTAGACAACTTAGAACAATGTTACCTCAGTATTAAAAATTAGTGTTTTGGGGCTGGGGATTTAGCTCAGCTGCATAAGAACCTGCCTTGCAAGCAGGCAGTCGTGAGTTTGATACCCGGTATCAATTAAAAGAGAAAAGTTAGTGTTTTGCCTCATGAAATACATTTCTTTCCTTCTCAAATACAACAACCTACCAACTCAAAAGAAAATTATTTACAGAATTTGAGACTTAAAGATTTGAATGTTACTTGCAGAAGCTTTGTGAGGGAATCCTAAAATTTATATTTATTTTTCATTTCCATTTCTATGTTTTTAAAAGGTAATAAACTACTTTGATTACAACATAGCTGTTACGTTCATTGTTACTTCTCTGTTCACATAACAGTATAGTTCTCCAGCATGCAAAGGTTTTGTGTCATTCTTGTTCTGTTTGAAAGCATTCTCGAAGAAACATTAAAACTGACATGATCCAGGCCACTGGATACTTAATTAATGTATTTCACTCATTCATCTGAGCATAACGCAGACTGAGCATAACGCAGATAGATAGTGTGTCTCAGAGATGAAAGCACATAAGAAGATACTTGAGAAACCACTGATTAAAATGTATTAGTTGAGGGCCGGGTGTGTAGCTCAGCAGTGTAAGTGCAAGCTTCACAAACGCAAAATCTTGAGTTCGATCCCTGGTACCAAACAAAATTTTAATTTAATTTAAAAAATACAAAGTATATTAAGGAATGAAATGGAACAATAGGTTTTGTCTATGAAGAGAAAGATTTTAAAAATGCTGCAGTGGTGGTACACTCCTGTAATCCCAGAACTCAGGAGGATGAATTAGATGGTTTGGTGCAAGTTTCAGACCACCTGGGCTACAAAATGAACTAAAGACCAGCCTGAACTACACAGCAAGACCTTGTCTCAAACACACACACACACAAAAAAGATCAAGTAGAAGATTTAATTAGTTAATTCTTCCCAACTTGCAACTCAAGTTTTTAAAAGCACAAAGACAGAGAACCACACCATACCACCATGGAGCACAGCTTCTGCACCATGCTTAACACCCAACATTCCCCAAGGGACATCTGGGATGCTAGGAACAACTGGTAAGCCCCAGGATGACCTAGGCGCCTGCTGGGCCAACCCTTCTACGAGAACACCTGCCTGGGGTGCCCAGGGAGTCCTGGGCCACTTAGGACTGCCAAAATTGGGCCCACCCCTCACTGGGAACACCTGGGACACCCTGGTAAACAATCCACCTCATACGGCCACCAAGTAACACCAGGGACACCCCAGCACTCCTGGCTACCTTGGGACTGCTGCCGCTGGGCCTGCCCCTCCACAGAACATCTGGGACACCAGTGGCATGATGGATCACCTAGGACAGCCATGGTGGGCTGTTCTTTGGGGAATCCAGCCAACACCTGGACCTAGTTAGTACTTCATTTGGTCTTTGCATTCAACCCCTTCTTCCAGAACGTGGACTACAGTGAATTACCGTGCTGGCTGGATAGGAGACTATGGAACCCTTCACCCAAACAGAAGACCTCAGCAGGCTCTAGTCAGTGTGGCAAGTTTGGCCCTAAAATACAGGTCTGCCATGGGCAAATAGGAGCAGAAGTGAAACTCCTTCCAATTGGGAAGACCTTGATGAACCTGGCAAGAGAGTTGGTAATCCCTCCTCCACACAGAGAACATCAGACAGGTTGAGGAGTGTGCCACTAAGGTCTCCCCATCTTGGAGAAAATTAAAAGAGCTTAGGAGACCCCGCTGACACATTAGGGCCTCAGCTAAAACAAACACTATGGACAGGGAGAGCTGGTGACCTGCAACAACCTGAAGACATAGCAACAGCAGGAACTAAGAGTTAATCTACATCTATACTTTTAGGTTGGTTAGTCTAGTAAGAGTATAGGACTCACCCAAGGGACCCTGAAGGAGGAATTCAGGAGACTGGGTCTTCTATTCACTGTGATACCCAGAAACTGGTCAAACATCAACCGCACAGTAGGACGCTAAAATTACCACTACCGATAGTTCAGACTGTTGGGATTGAAAGACCAAATATTTACCCAAAATGTGAAAATGACAAAATGAAGAGGAAAAAATGCTATTTCAAACATCCAGTCCATCAGGAGCAAGTACATGTGACAATGAAATAGAGGACTTTAAAATCACACACCAGGAATCTCTGAAAAGAGAGCAAATGAAGTAAAGAAAAAAAAAGTCCATGAGGCTATAGAAAAAATAACATTAGAAATAATGTCTTATGTAAACATAAAAATAACAACCTTGGTAATAAGTTGCTCATCATAGCTAAAGAAAAAATAGATTAAAAAATACAGGAGCACGGGAAATTGATTGAAACTGTGAATGAACAATGCAAAAAGCAAAATCCATAAAACAAATTCTAAGAGTCATCCAAGTAATAAAAAATTACTTGTTAACAAAACCGTTTAAATGAAGATGAGGATACAATTTCAGACCTTGAGGACTGGATCACAGATAGCGATCACGAAAGGTTAGAACTTATAAAAACAAAAAGCAGCATGAAATGACAATCCAGCAGCTTCAACATGATGCCAACAGAAACAACATAAGCTAATAGGCATCAGTGAAGATGCAGGAGTCAATGCAAATGACATAACTAAAATATACACAGGAGTAATGGCAGGAAATTTCCCACACAAAGGGAAAAAATCTGATATACAGAAAAGTGAGGTATACAGAACGCCAACATTCACAAGCAACACAATTTACCCCAGACATGTAATAATTAAGATCCAAGACACTCAGCATAAAAACTGAATACTGAAAGCTTAGAGAAAAGACACAACTCATCTATCAAGAGAATCCTATTAGAATCAGAGCAGACTTTTCAGCACAAACCTCCAATGTAAGAACAACTTGGAGTGAAGTAGTTCAAGCACTAAAAGAAAACAACTTTCAACCCAGACTGATGTTCCTAGAAAAACTGTCCTTCAAACCTACTGCAGAAAAAAGATACTTCCATGACAAAAAACAACTGACTAAATTCATATCCACAAAACCAACCCTAGAAAGAGTACTGAAAGACATACTAGATAGAGATAAAAATGACCAAAATATACTAACAACAACAACAAGAATCCACCAGACTGGACAAGAAATTAAACAAGGAAGGAAAGCAGGAAACCAACAACAGGAACACAACACGGCAAAGTCAAGCCAGCATGTATTAGTGATATACATAAATATAAATGGGCTCAATTCACCAGTCAAAAGAAACATAATGAAAGAATGGATCAAGAAACAGGATCCCACAATATGCTGTACACGAGAAACACATCTGACTCAAAAAGAAACTCATAGGTTAAACACCAAAGGGTGGAAAACAGTATGCCATGAAACAGGAAGCCAGAAAAAGGCAAGGGTAGCTGTTGTGTTTGCAGACAAAGTGAACTTCAAATCAAAAATCGTTAAAAGAGATAAAGAAGCCACCACATAGCTGTTTTCTTTAATCTTGTTTAAAGTAAGACTAAACTAAACAGCAAATGGGTACAATTATACGTAAGTTTAAGGAAAAAATAAACAGGAAGAAATCACTGGATGATTTTTACATACTATCCAATTACAAATAGTTGTTCAA